CCCAGAGATGCAGCGCTGGTTCAACATACAAAAATCTATCAATGTAATCTATCATATAAATAAACTGAAAGAAAAAACCATATGATCATTTCATTAGATGCCGAAAAAGCATTTGACAAAGTTCAACACCCCTTTATGATAAAGATCTTGAAACAATTAGGGATACAAGGATCATATATAAATATAATAAAAGCAATACACAGCAAGTTGACAGCTAACATCAAATTAATTTGGAGAAAAACTCAAAGTGATTCCACTAAAATCAGAAACAAGATAAGGCTGTCCACTCTCTCCATATCTCTTCAACATAGTGCTTGAAGTTCTAGCAATAGCAATAAGACAACATAAGGAGATCAAGGGGATTTGAATTAGAAAAAAAGAAGTCAAACTTTCATTATTTGCAGATGATATGATAGTGTACATAAGTAACCCCAAAAACTCTACCAAAGAACTCCTACAGCTGATACATCCTTCAGTGATGTGGCAGTATACAAGATCAACTCAAAAAAAAATCAGTAGCCCTCTTATACACAAAGGATAAAGTAGCTGAGAGGGAAATCAGAGAAACATCACCTTTCATGATAGCCACAAACAGCATAAAGTATCTTGGGATAATACTAACCAAGAAAGAGAAAGATCTATTTGAAAAGAACTTTAAGTCTTTGAAGAAAGAAATTGAAGAGGATACCAGAAAACAGAAAGATTACCCATGCTTGGATCGGTAGGATCAACATAGCAAAAATGATCATCCTACCAAAGGCTATCTATAGATTTAATGCAATTCCCATCAAATTCCAACAAAGTTCTTCACAGACCTTGAGAGGACAATAATCAACTTTATGTGGAAAAACCAAAAAAACCCAGGATAGCCAAAACAATCCTATACAATAAAGGAATTTCTGGAGGTATTACCATCCCTGATATCAAACTCTATGACAGAGCTACAATAATGAAAACAGCTTGGTATTGGCATAAAAACAGAGATGTTGACCAATGGAATCAAATCAAAGACCTGGATATTAATCCACAAACCTATGAACACCTGATTTTTGACAAAGAAGCTAAAATTATACAATGGAAGAAAGAAAGCATCTTTAACAAATGGTGCTGGCATAACTGGATGTCAACCTGTAGAAGAATGAAAATAGATCCATATCTATCACCATGCACAAAATTCAAGTCCAAATGGATAAAAGACATCAATATAAATCTGACCACACTGAACCTGATATAAGAGGAAGTGGGAAGTAGTCTGCAATACATGGGCACAGAAGACCACTTCCTATGTATAACCTCAGTAGCACAGACAATAAGAGCAACAATGAATAAATGGGACCTCCTGAAACTGAGAACCTTCTGTAAAACAAAGGACACAGTCATTAAGACAAAGAGGCAACCTACTGAATGGGAGAAGGTCTTCACCAGCCCAACATCAGACAAAGGTCTGATCTCCAGAATATATAAAGAACTCAAAAAACTAGACATTAAAATTATAAATAACCCAATTAAAAATGGTATACTGAACTGAACAGAGAACACTCAAGAGAAGAATTTCAAATGGCCAAAAGATACTTAAGGACATATTCAACTTCCTTAGCTATCAGGGAAGTGCAAATCAAAACAACTTTGAGATACCATCTTACACCTGTCAGAATGGCTAAAATCAAAAACACCAATGATAGTTTATGCTGGAGAGGATGTGGAGTAAGGCGAACACTCATCCATTGCTGGTGGGATTGCAAACTTGTGCGCCCACTTTGGAAATCAGTGTGGTGGTTTCTCAGGAAATTGGGAATCAACCTATCGCAGGATCCAGCAATACCACTCTTGAGAATATACCCAAGAGATGCCCAATCATACTACAAAAGCATTTTTTTCAACTATGTTCATAGCAGCATTATTTGTAATAGCCAGAACCTGGAAACAACCCAGATGTCCCTCAATGAAAGAATGGATAAAGAAAGTGTGGCACATCTACACATTAGAGTACTACTCAGAGGTATAAAACAGTGACATCTTGAAGTATGCATGCAAATGGATGGATATAGAAAACACTATCCTGAATGAAATAACCCAGACCCCCAAAATATGAATATGGTATGTCCTCACTCATTAGTAGATTCTAGCCATAAACAAAGGACATTGAGCCTATAGTTCGTGATCCTAGAGAAGCTAAGTAATAAGGTGAACCCAATGAAAAACATATGTAGATCCTCCTGAAAATTGGAAGCAGATAAGATTGCCAGGCAAAAGTTGGGAGCATGGAGGTGGGTGGTTGGGGAGCAGGGGAGAGGGTGAGTGAGAGGGGAGAAGGGGGGGTTGGGGAGAGCTTGGGGTAGTGGGATGGTTGAGATGGAAGAAGGATGGATATGGGAGCAGGGAAGGAGATATCTTAACTGAGGGTGCCATTTTGGGGTTGGTAAGAGGCTTGGCTCTGGAGGGGTTCCCAGGAGGCCACGGGGATAGTCCCAGCTAGGAACCTGGGCAATGGAGTACAGGGTGCCTGAACTGGCCTTGTTCCGTAGTCATACTGATGACTATCTTGAATATCACCACCATAGAACCTTCATCCAGTGAAGGATGGAGATAGAGACAGAGACCCACATCGGAGTGAAAGAGCACCTAGAGGGTGTCTTAAACACTCGGAGACCCTCGCCCAAGAACCAAGTCCGAGCCACTGGATGCAAGAGCAAGAGGCAATTTTTTATTGTTCACAGGACCTGCGGGTGCTACAGTCACATAGAGAACTGAGCACACCGGGCTGGGTTTGGGGCAGATTATATAGGGTTGGGGTAGGCAGAAGCAAACGTACAGAAGCAGATGCATGGTTACAGGGTTCTCATTGGTCAGTTTGGATGAGGCGAGGGGTGAATTTGAGGGCAGGTCCCTTGGCCCCCTGGCTGGGATCAAAGAAACCAGATATCCCCTGGTCCCTGGCCGGGATCAAAGAGACCAGATAATAGCTGACCTGACCCTATCTAAAGCACATATGGTTTCCGTTCCCCTCCCAGGCCAGGTGTCTGACCATAAATCTCCTGCAGCCTGTGAGGCTGCCCTCGCCCCCTGACCTCAGATATCCTGCCAGATGTCTGACCATAAATCTCCTGCTTTGCAGCCTGTGAGGCTGCCCTCGCCCCCTGACCTCAGATATCCTGCCAGATGTCTGACCATAAATCTCCTGCTTTGCAGCCTGTGAGGCTGCCCTTGCCCTGACCTTCCATTATTTCTATCTGTTTGTGAAAGAGCCTTGCAGGATGGTGTTACTGCAGCTAAAACTGGGTCGGGGTCTTCCATTAGCACTGGACTGAGCTCCCAAGGTCCAGTTGAAGATCGGAAGGAGGGAGAAATATGAGTAAGGAAGTCAGGACCATGAGGGGTTGGTCCATTCACTGAGACAGTGTGCCTGAGCTAATGCGAGCTCACCAAATCCAGCTGGACTGGGACTGAACGAGCATGGGATCAAACCGGACTCTCTGAATGTGGCTGACAATTGGGGCTGACTGAGGAGCCAATAATAATGGCACTGGGATTTGTCTCTACTGCATGCCCTGGCTTTTTGGGATCCTAGTCTATTTGGATGCATAACTTCCTAAGCCTGAATGGAGCGGGGAGTACCTTGGACTTCCCACAGGGCAGGGTACCCTGCCCTCTCTTAGGACTGGAGGGGAAAGGGGAAGAGTGTGTGGGGAAGCGGCAGGGAAGTGTGAAGAGGGGAAGAAGTGGAAATTTTGATTGGTATTATTTATAAAGTAATAATAACAATAAAAGAACTCTGAATCACGGAACCTTCTGTTCAGCCACCCAGTTTACTGCTGTTCATCAGTTTCTTTTTCCTTTTTCTCTTTTTCTCTCTCTCTCTCTTTCTTTCTTTCTTTCTTTCTTTCTTTCTTTCTTTCTTTCTTTCTTTCTTCCTTCCTTTCTTTCTTTCTTTCTTTTGTTCTTAAGATAGGGTTTCACTGTAGCTTTGGAGCCTGTCCTGAAACTCACTCTGTAGAGCAGGCTGGCCTCAAACTCAGAGAGATCCACCTGCCTCTGCCTCCCAAGTGCTAAGATTAAAGACTTGTGTCACCCTCACCTGGCTGTGCATCAGTTTCTTAACCTGTGAATCCCACCCTCCATATGAATGACAGATCTAAAGGTGGTTGTTGCAAAATTTTGCCAAGAGCAAAATGTTTGTGCATATGCAATGGCCAAGCTTAATTCAAATGTGCATTGAATCTGAGATGTTTCTGACGTGTGTGCCATGTTGGATCACGTGACTTCCTCACACCTGTGCATCTGAGCACACAGCCTGAGTACTTTGTACTGCATGAACCTGCACACCACACAACCCCTATGATACACCTGAAACACGTTGCCTAGGTCTAGGCTGTTGTTAACTGTGATTGCAATATTTTTCTATACATACAAGATCTTCTGCTGTTATAGAAACATGATAGCTTCATCATGAAATATAAATATTTAAATATTTTCTTATTTTAATTCTTTAGCATGTAAGTATCACGTTAACATATCTTTGCATTTTATTATGTGAAATCATTTGGTTTTAAAATTTGTATTTTTAGTTGCTGACTTGAGTTACATAAAGAGATGCTAAGTAAATTTTGCCTTGGAATTAGAATGGAATTTCCACCAGCTTCTGAAACGTGCATTGCATGTCTATGTAAATCACAAGAGATGCAAAATATCCACTGTGGCACAACTGACTCAGAGACAGATATTGGGGTTCAACCTGAAAGTCAGAAAAGTAAAACAGCTAGTCACTGGCTCTTACCTCTACCTCTGTCCAAAATGGTCAACCTGCTTCTAGGAATCTCAGAATGAGACTGTGTCAGAGAGCTGTCTTCTGTCTTATACTCCTCTCTAGTGCTGGGATTAAAGGCATGCATCACTACCACTCAGTTTCTATGGCAAACTAATGTGGTTACTGGGTTTAAAGGTGTGTGCCACCACTGCCTGGTCTGTAAGTCTGACCAGTGGGTCTGTTTCACTCTCTGATCTTCAGGCAAGCTTTATTTATTAAAATACAAAGGAAATATCAGTACAATTCACCAACTCTGAGACACATTGAAGTTTACCTATATCTTACAGCATCAAATCTTCAACAGAGATTTAATTCATTATGCAAAAAAATAATCCACCTCGGTAGTTTTCAAATTTGGTGTCATCTTTATCAAATTGTAAACTATAATACAACAAGAAGTTATTTTAATATAAATTTATTTAAGATTGAAATTCAGTAAAAAATGTTCGTTTTATATTCTTATATATCTATATACCTAGGGTTATATAAAATTTATTTGGGAAAAAGAGGCAGGAAATGTTTAAGAAGCCCCCTTCCTTCCCTATTCATAAGAATTTACTTTCCAGGGAAAGCACCATCTCATTGTCTCCATCCCCATGCTCCCAGTTCTGCTTGTGTCATGGTTGGTCAGGTGGTTTTGAGACTGGTCACTCATAAGAGCAGGCTGGCCAAGGCCTGAATAGACTTGCTGACTCTGTTGGAAGTTTCCTGAGATGCTCATCCCACATCAACAGGCTGGGCAAGGCCAAAAGGAAACATCTGGGTCCACAAAGAGCTGTCCTGGAAACAGTGGCATCAGAAAGGCAACTCAGGTGGCCACTGGTTTGTAAACAGAGAAATCGAGGGCCAAAGGAAGGTCAGGCAGAGCCAGGACTCAAAGGAGAGTGCTCATCCCTCAGAGATCCCGCCTGACTTCTCAAAGAGGTCCATGATCAGGTGAGGATGGGTCTCCTTCAGAGCTCGGTAGACTTGGTCTTTGCAGGTCCTGCTCCAGGACCTGCTGAGGCTGAAAAGCTTCCGCATCTTGTCTTGGTTAGTAACTTCAGCCCGTACAGCCTCATATTCCTCTTCCCTCAGCACCAGACCATGCAGCTTGTCCAGGAGAGGGTCCACTGATGTCACTCGGGCCACCAGCTGCTCCCGATGCTGGTCCACAAAGTGTAGCAAGGCGGGAGCATCTAGGGCTGAAGATGAGACTGACATTGAGCATAGAAAGGCTCCTCTGTGAATTCTCTCCCTGGCTGCCCTCTTCCTGTTCTTTTCATCCATCTCATCTGCACTCCTGGCTCCCTTCTTCTTCTGGAAGGTCATTTGAAAAATATCTGTACCTTCCTGAGGTCAGTTACTAGTCTGGCAATTTGTATGACCAGGGCAGGGGTTCATGGTAGGGTGTTCAGGTTGGGAGTGGGTGGAGTTATTGTCTCCATGGAAAGCAGCAAGGGGCCTGAGAGGAACTCTGTCCTGAGCATGCACCTCTTCTACCTGTCCTGGTGAGTTAGCGAGGGTCCCTCCTTTCTCATTGCCATTGTCTCAAAGATCAGGTGATCTCCCAGCAGAATGCTATTGGTTTCTCTGGCCTCATATAGTTGTTTCTTACCTTTGTGAACTGCAGGCATCATGAGCTGTGCAAGTCTGAGATCCCCTGGAAGACAGGAGAGATGAAGCATCTGTAAGGATGTCTGTCACCGACACTCAGTGCTCTCTGTGCAACTCACAACCGTGCCTGAGATTTTGAGAATGAGCTACATAAATTCTGATATAATCTGGAAGGTGAACATTTCCTTACTCACATGGAAAATCTAGGCACCAGGCCTATCATTGTTGAGGGAGAAGACATGTGAATGAGAAAAAGGCTTTTCTTTCACATATCCACAGCCTCAATTTTATCCTAGACTGAATTCTCATGGAGAAATAATCTAGTCCTTTGCTGACTTCAATCTTTTGGCATTTGATTCAGGGTAGAAAGCTACTTTCTTGTCCTTGTTTGACCTTGTACACCCACAGGCAACAAAATTCTAAAGTCACTCTTCTCTAACAGTTTAGGGAAGCCATCTGAAGGACTGAGCTTGTAGTACTGGAATCCCTGGTTCCATTTGTATGATGGAAAGATGATATTCTTTACACTCCATGTTAGGAGGGCCATTTTGGTGCATCCTGACTGAAGCATCTAATGAAGACAATGAGTGACCATGAATTTAAAACCAAAATTTAAGATTGAGGACACAAGAGGGCCATGATTATAATCTCCTAGTATCTGAATTCTTTCCCACATGGAAGAAAATAGATCTTAATGAGTCCCAACAAAAATAATTAACATGTAGAAGAGGTTGGCTTAATATAAAGAAAAATAGCAACATTGCCCCTATCAGCTAAGGATCACACTATGAGATGGGTATGAACAGTATTTAACCTTTCCAACCATCTTACGAGTTACTCACTCTGATCTTCAGGTGAGGAAGGTCAGACACATATGAGTTAAGTCATTTTCAAGATTCCTAAGGAATAAGTGCTTGAGTGAGATTCAAATGCTGGCCCGCTGCTGGGGCAGGTCAGTTCTCCACCTGTGGCTCACTCAGGTCAAGGCTGAGCAAAAACCTATTCTTTGACCATGTGTGGAGCCTGTGAGTAGCAGCTCAGGAGCAGGAACCACCATTGTCTGACAGCTAACATGGGTGTCTCTAGAGCTACTAATGACAGAAGCTTAGTTTTGGCATTGTGGGTTCTGGATTAAGACTGTATTGTTAACTGTACTTATAAAATTTCACTATTTGTTTATCTCTTGTCAGCTTGAAAACATGGATGAGGCTACAATAGCCAAATAAAGAAATAAATAAAACCCACAATTTTGGACAGAAAAACCTAACCATGGAAATGAAAGTACTCTATAAGAAAAAAAATTAAAGATTTAAGCATCAAAGAAAAGAATTGAGGAAGGCCTTAGAATATGCAACGACACCTTTACCATAGCCATTGTTTGGAAGAAATACACCATACTAAAAGCATGCTACATACTCAAAACAGTCCCAATGAAGAAGACAGGGACATTCTTCACAAATAGAGTGCAAAAAAATGAGAAACACAAGTGGAACCACAAGAGAATAGATGTCAGAAACAACTTTGTGGAAAAATTCATCATACCTTATTTCAAACCAATATTATAGCCAGTGCAAAACATGTCCAGATCAATAGAGCAGAATAGACGACCTGGATAAAATCCCCATAACCACTATTTGGCCTTTGACAAAGAATCCAAAATACTCTTTGAAGAAAGAACAGCCTGCTCAACAAAAGATACTGAAAAAACTACACGGCAACACATGGAAGAACGAAACATCTTCCCTTTAAAAAGCCAACTCCAAATGACCTAAGAGGTCAATGTGAGACCCAGTGCCCTGAAACTGGGAGAGGAAACGTAGAGAGAGCCTTACAACACAGCAGCATAAGTCAGGATTGTGTGACTAAGACTCTGACAGTCCAAGACATAAATCCAAAAGCTGATAAACTGGATCTCAGGACACTAAAAAAATTCTGTATGACAAAGGAGACTCAATTGAGTGATGATAAGGTGGAGAGAGGAAGAAATGACTTCCCAGCTAACATGAGACAGGAGTACTCATGGAACTAAAAAAATCCTAAACAAGAAAATAACCCAGTTCTATGATTGGCCATAGCAGTAACAGAATTCTCAAAGAAAGAAATGCACATGGCTAGCAAACACTTAGCTATTAGGGAAAGACAAGTTTAAATTACTTATGATTCCATCTCATCCCTTGAGAATGTCCAATATCAAGGATACAAATGTTAATGAATGCCAGGAGGTGGTGGCACATGCCTTTACTCTCAGCATTCATGAGGCAGAGGTAGGTGGATCTCTGTGAGCTCGAGGTCAGCCTGGTCTACAGAGAGAATTTCATGACAGCCAGGGCTACACACAGGAAACCCTGTCTTAAAAAAAACAAACAAAAAAACCAAATGATAAATATTGTTGGAGTGTATGTGGGGACAGAGACACACTTATACACTAGCATATTAGAGTTTAAACTAGTGAAGCCACTGTGAAAATCAGTCTGGAGGCTTCTTAAGAACTAGAAACAGAACTGCTATATAACCAAACCCTAGCACTCCTGGTAACATATTCAAAGGAATATATAGTCTACTGTGGAGACATTTGGATAACCATGCTCATTGATGTTCTGTTCACAATATCTTGGAAATGCAGCAAGCCTAACTGTCTATCAATCGTTAATTGTGTGGCATTTTTACACAATGAAATTTTATTCAGGTGTGAAGAAAATGGCCTTATGAAACCTAAGTGTACACAATAGGAAAAATAACGAGGAAGATAAGCCAGGCTCAGAAAGAAAACTCTGCATCGTGCCTGGCAAGACATTCCTTTTGCTGCACTAGTGGCACAAGTATGATGGGAGCAACCAGTAGCTCCCTATTTACACTTCGGCCCACTCCACATGATAAGATCCATTCCTAGCTTTTTAAACTGATAAAGCAAACAAACCCAGGTCTTTGGAGATCTTAGGCCCTTGAGAGAATATTGTTTAAAAAAGGGCCTCCTAGGTATCCTTTAGATAATCTAAAGTGGCCCCTTAATGGCACCTTTGATCCCAATATTCTGTCGGAGCTTTCTAACTATTATCAGCACACAGCCAGATGGAAGGAGTTTCCTTTTATCTAAGCCTTTTACTATCTGAGCTCTAAGTCCTTACAAGCTGTTCATCTGCTCACATGTTCCTGGCTATGCCATCTAAGCTGGAGAAACACCCCACTTACGCTCTGGACCTTGCTAATGAACCCCCACCTTTCTGACCTCAGCAGGCAGCTACATCTACCTCTTTGCCTCTCCAAACCTCTTCCCCTCACCAACTACTCTGTCAGCCCCTCTGGATCCTTCCTCCTCTCTGGTGGCATGCTGTGGCAACCGCCCGGCTCTAGCACGCATTTTTACTCCTTCTTTCACACGCTCACGTGCTGCTAAAGAACCCAACCCTGACCAAGCCAAGCCGCCGAAGTTCTCCCGTTGCGAGAGGTGGCCAGTATAGATGGACTTGTCAAGGTACATGTTCCTTTCTCCCTCTAGAACTCTCCCACGTAGAGCAAAAACTGGGTTCTTATATATCTAATTCTACCTCTTTCATAAAGCAATCCCAATACATCACCCATCTTATATTCTCACCTTTCATGATATTTATATAATCCTATCTAATAACCTACTTCCTGAGGAGCACAGGTGAGTTTGGGAGAAGACCAGAGTACATGCAGATGAGGTTCACCAGACTAATGCAGCACACTCCCTGGGGGCAGAGGTGGTCCCTGAGCAGGAACGATTCTGGAATTATAATACCCCAGGTGGTAGTTTAGCCAGAGACCAGTTTTTAGCTTGCCTTCTTGCGGGTCTCCGTAAGGCTGCCCCCAAGCCAGTAAACTATGATAAACTCTTAGTGGTTATTCAGGATATGAAGGAAAATCCATCTGCATTTTTAGAATGCCTCACTAAAGCTCTGTTACAGTATACTAACTTAGATCCAGAGACCACAGAAGGCAGACAGTTACTCATAACTTATTTTTTTTTTCCTCAGAGCTACCCTAACATTACGGCTAAACTTAGGCATTTGGAGAAAGACTCCTTGACCCCACAGGCAGAAGTCTTAGCGTTGGCTTTTAAGGTGTACCATGCAAGGAATGATAAAACTCATAACCATAACTGTCAAATGCTAGCCTTGACCACCCGACTGGCTGAGGCGACAGACTGCCCGATCCCTGCTGTCCGTGCTGCTCCCTTGCCCCTCAGGGCTCAAGAACCACTGGGCCCATGTTCCAAATGTGGTAACATTGGTCCCTGAGCCAGAGCATGCCCTAATCCTCATCTTGGTCCCACGAGACCTTGTCCAAGATGCCATAGGGAAGGGCATTGGACAGCTAATTGTCCTCGTTCACATGGTGGTATGGAGACATCAAACCCAGAAAATTCCCAAATTGGACTTCTAGGTCTGGCCATGGATGACTGAGGCTGCCCTTTGACCCAACTACAAACATCATCTGTATATAATAGGAAGCCAAATATCACAGTATCAGGATGGTCCATCTCTTTTCTCTTGGACACCGGAGATACATACTCAGTATTGAGGGAGTTTTGGGGACCTGCCTGTCCTTCTAGTTTTCCTGTTGTTATGGTAGGGGTTCAGCTTTACCTACCTCAGCAGATCCCACCACTTAACTGCGTTTTTTGGGTATTTGTCTCACTCATTTATTTTTAGTCATGCCAACCTGCCTGGTACCTCTTATGGGAAGAGAGACTTTTTTTTAAAAGCTAAAGTAGGAGTTTCCATTTTGTTTGCTCCTTCCATTCTCCTCTCCCCAGATTTGCCAACAGCTCTCCTCTTCCTCCTCCTAGCCTCCTAACCTCCCAGCTCCAACGTGTCATTTCTTTGCCAGCCTCTCAGGTGGACCCCCAAGTCTGGTACACCCCAAACCTCTTTATTGCTAAACACCATTTCCCCATTGTTATCCAATTACAGGATTCTACTAGATACATTACCCAAGCTCAGTACCCTCTCTCACTCCAGATCCTTAGGGGACTTAAGCCTACCATCTCTGACCTTCTAAGGAAAAAGCTACTTTGCCCCACCT